CGTCTGGAAGCTGCAAGATGTTCATGAAGTACTCACTGGGGTTTGTGCGGGGCGGAACCTGGTAGCCCAAGCTGGCAAAGTAGGCCACAGATTCCTCTGTGGGGCCATGATAGATGACACGGCCCTTTGCGAGAAGAAGCAGGTCGTCAAAGACGTCAAATAAATCAGACGACGGCGAGTGCACCGTTGCGATGACTGTCCGCATGTCCCTCCTTGCCAATTCTTGAAGCATTTTTCCAACGCGCAGGGCGTTGACCGAGTCCAGGCCGGTGGTTGGCTCGTCCAGCAGCATGACGCAGGGATTCGTCACAAGCTCGGTCCCCACGTTCGCCCGCTTTCGCTCACCACCAGAGACCCCCTTCAAGATGCCCGGAATGCCCAAGACGGTGTGCTGGCACTCCGTGATGTGGAGCCGTGAAATCACCTCGTCCACAAGTTTCTCCGACTCCTCCATGTTCAGCCCAAGGCGGACACGACACGCAAATTTGATCGCCTCGCGCGGAGTCTCCTTGCCCATGACGATATCGTCCTGTGAGACGTACGACACCAGCTTCTTGTACCGCTGCGAGTAGATTGTGTTGTTCAGAAAGCAACACCCATCCAACTTTGCCTTGGCGTTGTACAGCTTGCCCGTGATGGTGCCCATGAGCGTCGTTTTGCCGGCGCCCGACGGCCCCATGATTGCCAAGACACGCCCACCGAGGGCGGTCCCGCTCAGATTGTAGAGCAGCGTCTTGTACGTGACGTTGCCGTCGTCGTCCTCCACGGGGACGCGGTAGGTCAGATTCTCCCACGAGAAGTTCACAACCTTGCCAAGGGAGAGGGCCTCCTCGCGCGAGGCACCGGCGTCACCGTCGCTCTGCGTCCTCATTGCTATTTTCGGCGTTTTTTTTTTTGTTCTCCCGTTTCTTGGCCCTCGCTTCTCCGTTGCCAAATACCGGCGACACACACACACACACAGATATACACAAAAGAAGGGCGGCCCACCGAATGTTCGCTGCGGTGCCGCCACACTCTTCGCTCAGCTAAGGCGTGTCCGCGCGCCGGGAGCCACGCAGTGCAGCGGCAGTCAAAGAAAAGAGCAACGGAAGAGAAGGAGTACATGAGCAGACAGAGGCACTCGGCAGGCAGCAGCCACGTGCCCGCGCACATCCATGCGTGGCAGGAAAGGGGGATTGCACAAAAACGAAAACAAGAAAAAACACGGCGCGGCACTCCTCCCGCTCACGCACACCAGAACCCCTTTGAAGCAATAATAATAATAAAAATAATTAATACTAGTAAGCTCCTCCCCGCTTGAATTTCGCCTCCTTCTGCTTCCATTCCAAAATAAAATACTCGCATACGCACACACAATTAAAAAAAAAGAAAAAAAGAAAAAAAAGTTCGCTCATATGCTCAAACGTCCTCCCGCTTTATTTCGTCTCCTGAAAGGCCCTAGCAGAGGGGGAAAAGCGCAAACGGCAGGGGCGGGGTGGAATAAAACGTTTTGCCCATCTTGCGGCAAAAAAGAGAAAACACGTCCCAGTGACGCTGCATTCTTTTTGTTTCTTTTTTCTTCCTCCCTTCTCGCACTCCTTTTTCGCTCAACCTCCTGCCGACTGGCCACCTCTTCCCCCTCCCGCACCGCGGCGTGGCGCAGGCGTGGAAAAAGAACAACACCTGCGCGTCGTAAATTGTACATACGAAGCAATACAGAAATAGACCAAATGAGTCACAATATATAAACTGCGGCACACAAAATCAACCAGGAAGAATCAGACAAAAATGACTCTCCAATAAACTGAGCCACGAATGGCTTATTTCTCTCCCAGAATCATTTCGCTGGTTGACTCGTGGCCAGCATTTTTTCCTCTATATATGTATACATAAGAAAGAGATTGAAAGCTGGATGGCAACAAACCAAAAATATAAAAGAACCATGAATCAAGCGGGGCATTTACATCACACGCTGCATCAAAGTCCTCACTTTGTGCGGGGGAGCGTGCGGAGGCTCACCTCGCAGATTCCTCCGCCTTGATGAGCTCCAGGATGCCGTCCTGCATCTCCTTCACCGCCTCATACTCGGAGAGGCCGAGACGGCGCTTGTTGCTGATGTCATAGACACCGTCGGGGCTGTCAGAGTGCTCGCCAGCCGTCCCGCGCACCTGCAGGTTGTACTTCGCCGCCACCTCCTCCAACTTCTTGCGGTCCGCGCCAAGCTTCGGGAGCTTGATGTGCACGCTGGCACGGATCGTCGTGCCAAGGTTCGTCGGGCAGAACGTCAGGAAGCCAAGGCGGTCGTCACGCGAGAATTTCACCTTCTCCTCGATGACGCCAACGGCAGTAACAAGGCGGCCAAACACCTCCTTCAGGTTGCCGCCCTTCTGCATCGAGATGATGCGCAGGTGGTCCTCCTCATTCACCCACACAAGAAAGGTCTTGGCGTCGTTGTGGTAGATGCCACGTCCCGTGGGCCAGAACTCACAGGCGTGCGCCGCCTGCAGGAAGCGGTCGCCCTCCTTGAAAAGGAAATGGTCGTCAATCAGCTGCTTCTGTGTCTCCTTCGTCATGCCGGTCAGCGGGTAGTACTTTCCCCGCAGCTCGCCCGACATGCTCTCCAGCTGGCCCTTCACGCGCGACTCCATCTCCTCATACTGCTGCTTCTTGAGACAGGGATTGAACGGGTAGCCCTCAAGGCTCCGGCCGCAGCGCACGCGTGTGGAGATGACGTATTTTTTGTCAGGGTCCACGTCAATGAACGTGTTGAGATCACCAAAGTCCTTCGGGGGCTGCTTGTCGCTTGGCTTGAAGCCCTTGTGGTAGTCCTCGATGATCGGGTCGAAGAGGGCGGCGAACAAGGTGTACGACTCGGCGTCGGGCGCGTACACGCCAATGCCAGAGTCCAGGTTCTCCACGCCCGACTGGATGACGTCCATGAGCGTGGCGCCCATTTTCGTCTGCTTCCCCTTCAGCTGGTCAAACACCTCCTTCGTGAGGTACTTCTTGAGGAGCGAGTGGCAGTCGCTTGCGTTCTGCAGTTTGGCGAACGCCGCCTCAAGTTTGCTGACAACTTCCGCGGAGGCCATCGTGACTGAGTTGCTTGTTTTTGTGCCGAGTGAATGAATACAAAAAAACCTTGGAATGACGCGGCACGTGTGAGTCGGAAGGAGAAGGAAAGAGAGCGACGGATGCAGCAGAAACAAAGGATCCCAACGGGAGCCAAGAAACACCAAAGGAACACACAGAAAGAGAGAGGGAGAGAGAGAGAAAAACAAGAACTCAACATGTGTAGAACAACACTTTTTTTCCCCTCCAAAAGTGGTGTTGCAGATGTTGTTGGTTCCCATTCTCGTTGTTGTGTAATCTTCCCTTGCTCTCTTCTTTGGTGGATGGCATGAGCCTGTCGCCGCTTGCAAATTAATGTTCCAAAAAACAAAACAAAAATTGCTCTTTTTAAAGTAATTATTTTGCTTGCTTCCTTTTTTTCTTCGTCGGCGTTATGCGTCAGTTTCAGGGATTCTCTTGCCTCGTCGGACGCGGGTGGCGCCCCTCAACTCGTGCGTGGACGTCGAATGGAATGAAGGAGGAGAAAAGCAGTGCACGCTTGCCACCAGGAGATTCGATACGGTAGGGACCATCGCGCTCGGCCGCACCCCGCTTGTGTTTATGGTGCTGTTCAACTGACCGGTTGACCCACCGCATCAGAGCCTCCACCTTCGCTGCGGCGGTTGGGTACATCCTTCTATCATGTTCGGTGCAGAGCGAGAAGGCAGTGAGGGCAACGCGCACAAAGGCCTCCACAAAAGGGAGAAATGAAAGCGCTGCGCCACCGCAAGCGTACATCTTCTCCACTTCTTGGAAAATGGGAGGGGCAAAGGAGAGCACAGGCTGTTGCTGTTGCTGCTGGAAGAGAGGTGTGAGCAGGGCGTCAACGTAGGCGCGCCGCAGCAGGGACTCGCCCATGAGGATCGGGAAGACGTCCAACGCATGAAATAATTTATGAAACATGCTGTATGACATCCCGTAAGCGAATTCCGTTGACGTGTGTCCTCTGGTGTCCGCGGGGAGCAGCACGTCACGGAGCCGCCGCCGCCGCTTGTGTGACTCGTCGCCCTCTGTAGTCGTACACGACGGGCGTCGATGGAGTAATATTTTCCTGCTGAAAGCCTCGAACAATCGCTGCAGGCTCTTTTCGTTGTGCACCAGCACGCACAGAACATCGTCAGCCGCTATGAATCCTCTCCCCTCGTTCTGTGCTTCCCCCACCCCCTGTCGCAGGTGAATGTTGACATTCCTCACCTGACGCACGGTGTCCTTGTACGCCTCGACAACTTCCTCCTTCCTAAGTCCATCGATCGACGGAAGTATCGGGCGATCCACGTTGCTGTGGAGCCCTTCCTTCTGCCCGGTCTCGCACCGTCCCTGCTCTCGCATCCAGCAATGAAGGAGGAGAATCACGCGACAGAACAGGCTAAAGCCCATGATGGAAAGGACACGATAGCCATGTCGTCTCACGCACAGCCCATAAAGCACCTCCGCGGTGCGGCGCCAGTCTACCAAACCCGGCGCAGCGTCGTCACCGTTTTCATTGCTTTTCAAACCGGGTATCGTTCCAACCATGCAGGCAAAAGGGTTGGCCGAAGATTTTGCCCATAATGGGCATGCTCCAAAGTACTCTGTGTGTGAGAGAAAGCGCCAGAAACTCATTAAGGAAAGTGAATACGACATGTTCACATCATCCGGTATTTCCGCACCTCCCAGGGGGTATAATTTTGTCGAGGTTGTTGGTGCGGAGCTCTTGCGGGCGTAGTACGCGTAGACATAGAAGAGCTGTCGCATTGCCTCATCCAAAGGACCACATTTTGCGGATGGCGCCAAGAATTGAACCCGGGACGAGGCGCCACTGCGCACTACCAACGAAGATGACAACATCGTTGTGTGGTTGTTCTTCCGGTGAGGATCGTTACCACTTCCATGCGTTTTTGTACCTCCCCGTGGAACAACACCGGTTTTTCCCATCATGCGAATAGACGATTTCTCATCAACGCATGTGTACTTTCTTAGCACTCCACTCGCTACCAGCGCACATTCCTCTGGGAGAAGTGAGGTTACGTTGGTGAAATCCAGGTCGATTGCTTTCTCGTCACCTACACATTCCGTCCCATCGCACGGCACCAACAGCGAGACGGTGCCTTGCACTCCACTGCTGACAAGAAATGCGTGACGCGAAGAGTTATTGGATGTGACAAGGCGGCACACCACAATATGTGAGCAGGCAAGCAATCCCCTAGAGAGGGATGATAAAGTAAGACAATTGTGTGGCCCAATAAGAGTCTCCACCCCGCACAAAGATAAAATACGTAATGCCCCATGCTGACTGTCTGTAAACAACACACCATTTCCACCTGGAAGTAGCGCCAACGCGCTCGGCATACCCAATGAGGCCCGATGCGACTCCTTGGCGTCAACATACGGCCCCATTTTGCCATACCGTCCTCCAGCAACAGTCCACACGCGAAGTTTGGCATGTGTCGTGGGTCCCTCTGAAGACGCCACGGGCATGTTCAGTTGTGCAACAGTTTGAGGTACATCTCCCTCTTTTTCCCTCTCCAGAGCCGTCACTGTATTCTTCTTCTTCCTTTTTAGTCCAGTAATAAGTCGAATGGCGCCGTTGGGCTTGTCGAGGAACAACAGTCCTGAAGTACACCACACAAGGGCCGCGGCGTCGTGCAGGCGTGACACGCGATAATCGCCATCGCGGTAGCCCGGGACGCCGTCAATGCCCAAAATGGTACGCACCAATCTGTTTTGAAAGTCAACGTATCGAACAGCGTGGTTTCCGCGATCACTGACAAATAATACGTCACCACGAAAAGTATCTCGCCCCGTATGCGGTTGCCTGGGCCCCCCACCATCTTCCTCTCCAGCAAAATCATCGTCCATACGCCAACAAAGTGCGGAGGGAGAAGCAAAGCGAGCCATGTGAAAAGGTCCGTCCACAAATCCCTCTATGCCACCTAATAAAGCCCCTGGCTTCAATGCACCGTCTGAACATGGATGCTGTTGCTGCGCCTTGGCATCAGCTGCGGTTGCAGCGTCAACGCCTCCCTCATTTCCCCAATAAAGGGATGGCGGTACAACGCAAACTGTTAACGTTCCAGTGTCCACTTCCGCTGCCCAAATAGCATGCGTTGCTGCGTCAGCAAATAGAAAAGAATGCAATTGGCCTGGGCGAGATGGCAAAAATTTTATTGGAGACGTGCCATGTACAGCGTCATCAGCCATCGGGACTGGTTCTGTGGCTAAGCCCATCGGTACAGAAGGACGCGCAGCAAAGTCTGCGTTTCCCTCACGCAAGTGACCACTGCGACTCGAGCCAGCACTTGTCTCCATCGCCACTGGTGCAGGGAATGCTCTTCCACTCCGTGGTGAGAAGGGCACATTATAGTTCTGCACACATCCCGATATGACGGCGATTGGAAGGCGACTGGGCAGAGAAGTTGGGGGATCATCCGGGCACAAACGCACGACGTACACAGTTGAGCCGCCGTCCCTTTGACTTTTATCCGAACCACAGGCCACAAGAAGATGAGTTCCGTCGATCGGAAACGTGAACAGGACAGGGCCCGGCTGACAACAATGCCTCACCGTCTTCCCCTCCGCGGTGAGAGGTACCTGAAAAAGAATTCGGCTCATAAACGCCATCCCCATGTTATGCGGCCTCACGGCGAGTGGTGCGGCTGTTGTCGCGGTGGTGTGAATTTGACACACAACGTCACTGCCGCTACAGCGCTCTGTTGCCGTGCCGGTTTTACCCCCCATCTTTACGGAGGGCAATGAGCGTTACCCACGCTCGTTTCTACAGGCAAACCACGTCAAAGAGGCCATGGATGGCAAATAAGATAAGAAAGGAATAGAAGAATAAAATAAAATAAAAGATATATAAAGAAACACACACACAAAAATACACATCGTGCCACATGGAATTGTACAAAAATAATAATAATAATAAAAAGGGAACGTATTGTGTGAAGGCCAAATGCAAACAACAAATTCAAAGTGAAGAAGAAAAAAAAAAAAAAAAGGAAAAATAGTGGAGGGAACGCACCACCGCATTGGCTCTAAAACCAAAACCCACACATAAAAGAAATCATTAAACGTCCGGGTCTGCGCTCCCACACCACAATTTGAGGAAGCAGTCAAAAAATATCCTTCTTTCTTTATATATTATATATATATATATATGTCCCCCTCTCCCTTTCTTCATCCCTCCTCTTCTTTTATTTGTTAAACTCGTCGCGTCACTCCATCTCCCTCCCGCATCACGCCATATTTGTAGGGGTTTTCACCCTCTTCAGCCAATGCGTTTAAATGCAGCCTCTCCGCAACCTGCAAGACATCCACGTCGCTGTCGTGCTGCAGCCGCTCGGCGCACTGGCGGAGGATATCCCGGTGGACGCCGCACACCCTGTACCAATGCCAGTGCTCTACCAACGATTTGGCAACTGCCAGTCTCACATTTGAAACGTCGTCCTCGGAAAAGGCTCGCAACAAGCGTGTCCATTGCTGCAGGAGCTCCTGGCGGCGCAGATCCATTGGCGAGAGGCCACTCACCACTGGGATAATACCTGAGAGGGACTGAATCGCCACCACCCTCCACATATATGGCGTGCGGGATTTAAAAGCAAATTCTTTCTGAAAAAGTTCAAATGTCATGAGAGCTGCCCATTCAGGGCCATACGCAATCGCCACCGCCGATAATGTCTCCACCGCACTTGCCCGCACGGCACTGACGGAGTCCCGAAGCAGAGAACGAATAATGTACACAAGCGGCATAAATTCCTCTTCTGTGAGAGCGGCAGAGAAGTGGCGAATAGAAATAACAACTGCCTCACGAGTACGCCAGTTCTTTGAATCACTGACAATATGTAACTGATTAATAATTCCAGAAAGGACGAGTGCGGCACGCTCCTTCTGTTTCTCACTGACAGACCCCACGGGCGCCGGTATAAGAGTACCAATGCCTGCATGAGCGGAAGAAGGAAGGCTCATGGCCCTTTTGCTACGTCTCCCCCGCCGATTCATCAATGGCACAGACAATGTATTTCTTCTCTCACTATTTCCAACATTCTTGCCGGGCCTCAGATATTTGCCAAGATTGGCTGCGACAAGCTCCAGGTTACGCATGGCACTTCGCCCAACGACGTAGTTCTTGTCTGTTAACAGGGCAAAAAGGGCTTGCTGTTGCTTCGGTGTATAATCCACAACGTTGTTAGGGGAAAGAAGCACGTAAAAAATATTTGCAACACTTTCCCGAACAACAGGTTCCTTGTCTTTTGCGAGAGGTGCAACCGCTAGACACATTTTAGCCAATGCCTCTTGTGAAACTACATGAAGAAAAAGGATACCAAGCTGCTCCACCACAACAGCACGTGTCTCTTTCATTTCGTCCGCGCAGAGCGCAACAAAGACGTCTAAAAGATCGTCCGGATGAGTACAAAGACGAGCAAAACTACCAAGATGCTTTGCGGCAATGTGTCGCACACGCCAACTGGTATCTTTGCTTGCTGCAATAAAAGAAAACTGCAGGTATTTTGCTGTTGCCTCTTTCCCTATGCATTCTGCAAGACGCACCAATTCAGCGACATGCAAATAACGAACCGCGTCACTTTTTTCTTCCTTCATACACTCGTAAACTAAGGAGATTGGCATTTCGGCAATATTCACTTGATGTGCCTCCGCCACAGCTACCCATTGATGCAATGAACTCACCGCCATTTCCTGCACAAATTGACACTTGTCCCTTGAGAGTTCAATAAAGCAATTAAACCACTGCATCACCGTCATCCCACTCTCCTTGACAAGTGTCGGCCGGGAGGCAAAGATACCCAGCAACGACGCAGCAACTGCCCTGGGTGAGCTCCAGAACGACATAGTCATGGATGTAAGGAGGGGCAGCAACAGGTTTTTTACAATGTCCTCACTCACATAAACCACAATTTCCTGCAGAGAAGCAGCAATCGCACGTAAAACGCCGTGATCGGCGGAACAGCACAGATTCATGATAAGTCCTAAAAAGCATAAAAATGAATCTTCATCCAGTGCCTGCACCAGTTTCACTATACCTGGCAATACACCAACGATGGAACAGACAGAATCGTCATAATTTGCAGCCATCAACAAGACGGGAATAAGCTCTTCCACAATTTTACCTTTACTCATTTGTTTTGCAAGACGCAACGCATCTGTGACAAAGTTTCGACGGCCCTCAACAGTGCCCAAGACGTAGTTATACTCAACTGGAGGTTTATCCCTGTCCGTGCTTATCGTTACACTTGGTGTTCTTGGGGCCAAATGCAACACGCCACTGTCATTTGCTGCACGAGGACTGAGGGAGAAGGCGGGGTTCATGGAACGTAGCGGATTGATTGCTGCAGGAGATTGACTGCTCCGCGTCGTGGTGCTTCGCTCTGCAGCCTCTGAACTGAGTTCCGTGCTTTCATTTGCCCGCCGTCGTACTGAAAGGGTGTCAATGACGGGAATCGATAAATTGCCCGCGGCATCCTCAAAAATCTCCTCAAATAAACGCGGCGGGGGCGACGACCCGACCGAAATCGTCTCACGCAGAACAGCGGGTGATGCAGAACTCACCGCCACGGCGGCGACGTCATCGCGGCGAACGGGCGGAGAACAAGACCCGGGGCCCTCTGATTCCAAAAGTTTATCATTTGTCGACACGGACAATTCAGCGGAAAAAAACGGACTTTGCCTGCAGGAATACATCGGAATGGATGACACTAACAGAAAGGAATGTGTTCCTCTCTCTCTCTTTCTCCCTGTATATATATATATGTGCAGATCGATCAACGCAAAGACGACAAAACAACAAAAACAGCCCTAATAAAACGATAAAATATTTGTTCTCCTTTCTCCACTTCTGTGTGTGCCGCCCCCCCCTCCCCCTCCTTACCCGCAACACAACACGCGGGTGCGGGATGTAAGACGCGGCACCGACAGTGGTTGAAAAACCAGCGATCCAACACGCAGAGGTACACAATGCAGCAAACAACAACAACTACTACTAGGAAAAAAAAAAAGCACCAATCTGACTAATAAACGGCCCTGGTGGCCCGTGTACGGGGTTGTTTGTTTAAGTGCGGTTTCCTTTGATTTGAAAGGGCCTTAGAAGGGAGGTGGGCAACCGTGCGTCGTTGCAGGACGGGCTCGTTATCAGAAGCAGCCGCGAAAAGGCGAATAAACCGTAGACGACAGGGAAATCCACCCCCCCAAATCAATTCACCTCTCTTCCCAGCAAAAAAAGAAAAAAAAAGCAAGAAATCATAAACAGCTGATAATCACATTGGTGGCACACACACATACACAAATAATGTGGAGAGAAATTAGAACACCTGGAAGTATTTATCCATCCATTCAAAAAAAGAAGAAGAAAGAATATGTATGATT